TATTTTGATTCGTTAGCATGGAACCTAAGCCCTAAGTATTTGTGGAATGAAAGTGTCAGCTTTTCTGGGTCTGTAAAATGAGCATTTTATTTTAGTTATCATTATTTTATAAAGTAGCGTTTTAAATGCCTAATTTTATATTGAGAAAGTAATGTTCTTCAATGATACCCTTCTCTCTCATCTCTCACTTCTTGTAAACAGATTATATTTTGATACTTATGAATTTAAAGTAGGAGAATTAGACTCTCAAATCTGGGCTCAGATGAATTCGTGTTTGGGAGAAGAGAAGACTTTTAGTGAAATGTCACTCTCTTAATTGGCTCTCATGGCTTTTGATAGCTTTGTCTGCTTGGGGTCAGTAAAAATCCTTCAGGAAACATGGCAACCTGGGAATGAAATGAGGATGCTTCTCCCTAGGAAGTACTAATGATTGGGACTCAACACCATTTGCACCTGAGACCATGATCTAGCCAAGAACTCATCAGAGTCTTTTACCAAGGCATTGATGGGCTTGGGAAATAGATACCTCAGTGTTGAGGTAAAATCAGGCTCAGATTTGGAATTTCTTGTACACAAACAGTTGGAATAAAAGTCCAAAGATTTTTGGTCCCAGTGAATGTAATATGCCATTTCAGACGCTCTGCCTGCTGTTTCCCCTCAAATCATAAACTTGCTGAAGGTGCAGGTTTCTGGTTAAATTTTAGTGATAACAGAATTAGTAATAGTTTAGGTCTAACTTAGGAAATTTTCCCCTTTTTATTCATCTGGAGGTTGAAGGGCCATATTGTGAAGGCTGTTTAGTGTTTTGATGGACTTGGAGTGAAGGGGCATGACAAGGTGTGATGTAATGAGTTTGCCTTGAGCAAAATAAGTCTCCTCAAGGAAGTTTCTGTAATAAATGTAGTTGTATGATGAAATTTCAACAGCTGAATTCTAACCCGTGAAGGAATATCTTGTGGTAAAAGGGGTGATTATCTACTTTGCTTGATAGACTTTTGAAAATATCTTGGATTCTAAAAATTTCTTTTCACAGCAGAGTTTCCTCAGTGCCACTAGATATTTTCAAATCTGTTTCCTTCTCTGCTACTTTCATTGCCCTGTGACAGTGGGTATCATTGAGGGTGCCTCTTTTTAAACTATTTTTAGCCTTAGACAAAGACAGCCTGAGTTGGCTAAGTGCCTCCCAAGACACTTGTCATTAGGTTTGGGCACTGACCTTTTATCTTGCCTGGGTGTCCCCTTTGGCTAGGGCCAACCACCTGCAGGGGGACCCCTATGGTTTTATTAATGATATTATGTTAACTTCTGATTCTCTTGTAGATTTAGAAGTGGCAACACTCCCCTTGCCTAGATTTAAGATGGTGCAGCTGAGACCACCTTCCTGGCAGCTAAGTGGGCTATTCAGCAGGCACAAACCCTACAGGTCATTGACCAGAGGCACCTGTTTGAGCTGGATGTTCATGTGACCACAGATAGTTTTGGCTGGGGCCTATAGCAGCACATGGAATGCTTGAGAATGCCAGTAGGCTTTTGGTCCCAAATATGGAAAGGAGCTGAGCTCCAATATTCATTGATAGAGAAGCAGTTAGTAATTGCATTTGCTGCCCTTAAGGCTCATGAGAGCATAAGCAGGATGGGCTACAGTCATGATGTAGATGACTTATCTGATAGCAGGATTGGTGCATTCATGGTTGATGACCCCCCCGCCCCTGGACTGGGATGGCACAGACATTCACTTCTGCAAAGTGTGGCACCTACTTGGAGCAGCAGAGTACGCTGAATACAAGGCCCTTAGCAGCAGAGCTGCAGGAGGTCTGCTTAGATCCTGTAGTCCTAATGCAAGATAAGGCCACGGGGCCTGAGGCACCCCTGCATTCCTGATGAGGTATGATATACTAATGGGTCTAGCTGGAGTGCTGCTATTGCCTGGACTGCTGTCATGGTCCAGCCGAGTACTGACACCATATGGTTTGATAGCAGGTGTGGACAAAGTAGCTAGTGGGCTGAAATCAGAGCAGTGTGAATGTTGTAACCAAGGTGGTGACACCTGTGATAATCTGCAGTGATAGCTTGGCAGTTTATTGAGGCTTAACCTTATGTTTAACTACCTAAAAGTTAACAGAAGTGGCTAGTTCATCACCGGCCCATATAGGCCTAAGCCATGTGTCAAAACCTATGGGAGGAAGGATGACCTCCTCCGACCAGGTATGCGGACCAACAGTAACCTGTCGTTCTCTGCCCCAGTGCTCCTGAAGGAAGGGAAATAAAAACCTGGCTTAATATATAAAGCAACATTGGAGTAATGTCATCATGGGGTGGTTGCCCACCATAACCTGGAGTTGTTGCTTCCTGTATTACTGCTGTGGACTCTGGGTCCAGGGTTCTGCCCTGTGGGCATGTCTCCCCACTAGAAAAACTCCCTCTGCCTAGGGGGTGGAATGGAAGGCCTATGTGTTGGACCTGAGTGTCTGAGGCCTGTGTGCCCAGAGCCTATGTGTAAAGCATGTGTGTCTGGGGCCTGGCCTATGTTTCCAGAGCCTATGTATGAGGTCTGTGTGTTGGGCCTGTGCATCCAAGGTCTGTGTTGTGTCTCCCTCGGCCTAGGGGGTGGAATGTAAGGAAAATGGAGGTGCTACGGTCAAGAATAGGCCGAGGCAGACATTCAATTCAGCATGAGTCTGGAGTTTGGAGCGCAGGTGCACAATTCCACTCATTATATAACCACAACACATGAGGTGCATTAGATGATCACCTATGTGAGCTCGTGCTTGGCGGAGAGCCACTATTGTCTGTAAAAGGTGTAATTACCCTGCTGATGCTGTACATAGGGCTTGCGCCTGGGTTGGCTCGTGCCAGGTTTGCACCATGGTTTGCTCCCAGGCTCACTTGTGCCGAGAGAGAATAAAGCCATGTCACAACTTCCTGTGATTCCTCAAGTGTTCTTTCAGCTGCTCACCACTCATCCACCCACTCCCCTTGGTCCTCGGCTTGGGCTGGAACCTGAGACTTGGAGTGGCACAGTGTCTGGGTGCAGTTCATGCTGTTGATGGTGTGGAATTCATGCAAAAAGAAAAGTTAAAAAGATATTAGCATCAGAGGTTAGTTTGCTTTTGCTGCTATAACAAGTTACCACAGTGTAGTGGCTTAAAACAACAGAAATCTTACGTTTTTGGGTCTAAAGTCTGAAATGGGTTTCACTGGGCTGAAAGCAAGGTGTACTTTCTTTCAGGGCTGTACTTTCTACAGAGGCCATATGGGAAGATCAATTTTGTTGACTTTTCCAGCTCTTAGAGGCCCTCTACAGTCCTTGGCTCATGGCCTGTTCCTCTGTCTTCAAATCTTCATCCTCTCTGATCTGTCCTTTGTTGTCATGTATCATCTCTCCTTGTGCTTCCATTGTCATATCACTTTCTTGTACTCTGAGCCCCCTGCCTCTTTCATTAAGGACATAATTACATTGGGCCCATCTGGCTAGTTCAAGATAATCTTCCTATCTTTTTACTCAATCACATTTACAAAGTCTCTTTTGCCAAGTAAGATTCCAGGGATTAATACATGACCACCTTTGCTAGGAGTCATTATTCAGCCCTACCACACGTTAGAATACATTTTTTAAAATCTTTTTTAGCTCTTGGTTTTTTTTTTTTTTTTTTTCAGATTGTCCTTGGGATTTCCAGAAACATGTATTCTGCAGTCTGTTGTTTGAATAAAAATGTGTTGGTAAAAAATACACATTTCTATAAAAATAGAGAAGGTGTCTTATATTTAACTGTAAAATTTAAGTTTGGTGAGAAAAGAATTTAAATACTTTTATTTCTTTGAGGGCAGAAAGTATTTCTCAAGTTTTGAACCTTTCACTGAACAATGTCAAAGTTATGGTAGGTGCTTGTCAAAACTTGCTAAGTGACAAATGTGATTCTTAAGTGATTGCTTTGCCATATTTCTTGGGTCTTTAGTCATTTTAACAAGTGCTCTGGACGGACGGACACACACACACACACACACACACACACACACACACACACATGCATGTACTACACACAAACATGGCCATACTGAGATATTGCCTAGCAGGTGTTTGGTTTACTGTGGTCTTCCAGACTTTAATTTCTAGTAGTTCTCGCTTCAGTACCTTTCTTTGTCCTGACCGGACTTTTCCCATTAACCACTCCACCCTACATCTGAATCAGAGTTCTGTTTGGCTTAGAAAGATGCAGTCTGAGTCTCTTGCAAGCAAGATGCTATTGGCTCTCTATTGCTGCTCTCCTGTTAGTCAAATTCTCTACCCCTCAACACAAATGAATTAAAAATGTTCATAGAATACAAGATCTAGTACACAGACTGAGAAATGGGTTTGTCCTGTATTTATAGGCTACCATTTATCTATAAAAATGATGTTCAAATATAGTGATCTTTTAATTAATGTTACATGCAGTTTCATTGTTGGCTGTGACCTTCACCCTTACTGTTCTCATGCTTTTTCCCCCCCTCTCTTTGTATATATAACTGAAGGAGCGAATTAAAAGTATATGATGCCAACTGAAATTCAAGTAGATTATATAGTCATTATAAAGCATAAAATGGAAACAGCTCTGAAGTAGGCCATATACTTGAGCCGCTTGCTGACAAGGCAGCCTCTTGTGCCTGGGATTGATCACAGATAGGAAGAGCTTGTAATGCTACAGTTGATTACTTTGATAGTTGCGTTTATTCATATAGTTCTTTATGAAAGGAAGAGATCACTTTCATCATCTAAGTGTGTAGGGGTTCATGAGTCTTTCAGACAAAGCAAAAGAGTGTCAACTAATCTAGAGATGTGTAATTGATGGATTGGAGTGCTGTTCGTTACGAGTTTTGCATCCCAGTGAGGCACTGAGCCATGGGAGAGTAGGGCTGGCATCTTGTTTGCTTTTGCATTCTCGTATCTGATGTTTAAAAATTTTTTGAATGCATATATTGAAAAAAGAAAGTATTTTAAATGTATACATTTTTATTTACAGCTGCTGCTGAAGGGAAAGGCAGAAGTGGGGAAGACTTTTTTCAAAAGGTAAGTTGCCTTTTACTCTTGCCATGGTGATAAATAAGAGGAAATAACACCTATCTCAGCAGCTATCCTAGAAGAACACTCCTCTTCCTGTGGAGGAGAACAGGTTTCTGTACAGGAAGGAGCTGGAAAAGAGGGGATGCTATGTGGAACTTAACCATTCCAGGAAGTCTCCTTCCCAGGAAAATCTAATTAAATGTTTGCTTGAAGGCAAATAAACAAAATGTAAGAGGGCTCAGACGTGGATTCGTTCATGTGGCATCATACTTCATTTGGTTGGCTTGTGACATAGGAGGGGTTTATTATGCAGGGTGAGGTGTACTATCCTATCTGATGAATAGGATGGGAGGATCTTTTCTAAACGTTTTTAAATTAAAACCCATTTTAAAATGCTCTACTGGCCAAATAGAATATGCTAGACTACCAGTTTTCCACCCTTGCTTTGTAGGCTCAGGCTGTTGCAGTTTAGGTACTGTGCCCCCTGACTTGGCGTTGTCTGACATTGGTTAATCTCCAACTTATACTCAATACCTGAGCATTTCAGAATGCCCTGGTGTTAGCTGGGGCAGGCTTAGCAACAAGGGTAAGACAACGGAAGACAAAAAGCCTGGGTGCAGTGGCTCATGCCTGTAATCCTATCACTTTCGGAGGCTGAGGCTGGCGGATTACTTGAGCCCAGGAATCCAAGAACATCCGGGGGCTGAGCATGGTGGTATGTGCCTGTAATCCCAGCCCTTTGGGACACCAAGGCAGGCGGATCACTTGAGGTCAGGAGTTGAGACCAGCCTCGCCAAAAACCTGTCTCTGCTAAAAATACAAAAATTAGCCAGGCATGGTGGCAGATGCCTGTAATCCCAGTTACTTGGGAGGCTGAGGCATGAAAATCCCTTGAACCTGGGAGGGAGAGGTTGTAGTGAGCTGAGATCGCGCCACTGCACTCCAGCCTGGGCAACAGAGCAAGACTGTCTCAAAAAAAAAAAAAAAAAAAAAAGACCAGCCTGGGCAACATGGAAAAATCCCACCTCTACTGGAAAAACAACCCCAAATTTGTTGAGTGTAATGGCATGTGCCTGTAGTTCCAGCTCCTCTGGAGGTTGAGGTGGGAGGATCAACTGAGCCCATGAAGTTAAGACCGTAGTGAGCCATGATTGTGCCACTGCACTCCAGCATGGGTGACAGAGTCAGACCCTGTCTCAAAGAAAAAAATAAAATATAAAGAAAACAAATAGTAGAAATCATAGATTTCCCATGGGTTGGCTATGATGGTAAATATAGATGCTATCTGTGGAAGGATTCTTCTTCATTATTGTTCTTTAAGTCACAGATAGATGAAAAAGTATATGCTTCATCTTTGTGATTTCAGACATTTTAAAATCTGCATCAAAATGTGGTGTATATGATCATAAAGGACTTTCATTCCCAGATTTGCTAATATTTCTCACTCTTTGCAGAGACATATATACATTCCAGCAGTTTAAATGGAAACACATGTTTGAATCCAGGAACATGTGTGCATCCCACAAACTATGAGTTAGAGTCATAGATTCTATTCTTGGTCACCGATTAATGAGGTCTGTGAATAACTAGATGGGAGTACATTTTATTCTCTCATTTTTTTCTTTAGTTCTACAGGAAGTGTCTTTCCCATAGACAAGTGTCCATATAGGATTTGTATGCTCATCCAGCAAAAAACCTGTAATTTCGAAGACAAACAGCCCAAATTCCAGAAGAGTCATTTTTCACTGTTTTGACTAGACAGAAGTAGACATTCTGGTTCATCTACAGTAGAATGAAGTCATGGAGAAATACTGAATTGTCCTTCAGGAACTTGCATGCTGTCACACGTATTCTAGTTTTACATAATGACATTTGGGGAAACATTTAAGGACTAGTCCACATTACTGCTCACTAGCATCTTTGAAGAAATACTTTTCTCTCTCTAAACTAATGCAAATATGAAGGATCTAGGCTTATTATTGGGATGTTTCTTAGTTTTTTACTTTGAGGTATGAAACAAAAATTAAAACCTCTCTTTAGCTGAGTTTAAAGTTCAGCTCCTCAACTTTTCTAAGCCGGAAGGATACCTATCTAGCTTCATAATGCCTCTCCCTATATAGAGATTTTAGCAGGAGTGTGGAACTTTCATATGTAACTTTATGGTTTTTTTGTACCATAAAAATATATGCAAAAGCATACTAATATGACTAAATTTTGCTCTATTTAATTAATTATTCTTATTAAAGTTTTTAAATTAGAAAATAATAAAATTAATTTTAAAATATCTTCCAAAATAAGAATTAGTATGCTTCCAGAAAGAGCTTACATTTCAGTTTAACAGACAGAAAGATTGTCAAACATATTATCTCAAGCTTAAAGCTATAATAGTAGTTGTTGAGCTTATACACTTCTCCCGTTGAGTCAAAGTTATTATTTTTTTTCAGAGATCTACCCAGTTTTCTACACCCTGTTTTACTACATGGGTTTGAAATGATTTATTTCCCAAACACTTAATAAAGAATAAAAGGTAAAAGGCTAAGATGTTATGGCAAAAAAAAAAAAATACCCCAAAACCCCAACAATATAGTATCTCAAAGAGCACAGTGATTTGTTGTACTCTCACATACCATTCCAAGGAGAGTCTTCCAGCTGTGCTGGTAGCTGGGTCCCATCCTGTCAGTCAGTGAGCCAGGCTCCTTCTAAGACATAGCTGGGTTGTCCCTAAGGCATGGCCTTCATCTCCCTTGTTGAAGCTGGGTCACCACCATGTCCAGGTGTGAGCTGGTGAGGGAGATAGAGTGTTGAATAGAGGGAAATGCCATGGGTTATAAGGCCCAGGGCTGAACGTGGCATCTGTCATTTCCTCTCACACTCTATAGGAGAAGACTTAGTTATGTAGTCTTACCTAATAGCAACAATAGAGGGGAAGGAGGGGCTGGGACATTTGATAAAAAAAAGAGTTGATTTTGCAGGCACTATTCATCAAAAATGAGATTGTTAGAGGAAAAAATGTGGTCAAAGTGTAATGTCTTTGTGTGGTGTACTTTGAAGCTTTTTGTCTGTTTGATAGGGCTGACATACTATAAACTGGGTGACTTAACTGTGATAAATTATCATCTCACAGTTCTGGAGGCTAGAAACCCAAGATCAAGGTGTCATCAGGGTTGGTTCCTTCTGAGGGCTGTGAGGGAGAATCTTCTCCATGCCTTTCTTTAGCTTCTGATGGTTTGCTGGTGATCTTTGGTGTTCCATGGCTTGCAGAAGCATCACCTGGATCTCTGCCGCCCTCTTCATATGGCATTCTTCCCCTGTGCTCGTCTCTGTATCCAAATTATTCCTTTCTATAAAGACACCAATTATATTGGATTAGCAGCCTACCCTACTCTGGTGTGGCTTCATCTTAACTTATTATTATGCATCTGCAGTGACCCTATTTCCAAATGTCACATTCTGAGGTCCCAGGCATTAGTACTTCAACATACGACTTTTTGGTGGATAGTTCAAACTATAATACCTTTTAATGGGGAAAATGATTCTGTAGAAAAATTTACTAAGACTATAGATGTTATTTGTCACATTTTGATACTCTGATCTTTAGATTTTTAACTACCTAGTCATTTATACTAAATCTATTTCTTAAAATCACAAGTCATTTTTAAATTGTCTACAATGAGTATATATTTGTCATGCAAAAAGAGGAAAAAAGGAATCTGTAATCTTGCCTTTTTTTTTTTTTTTTTGAGACAGAGTCTTGCTCTGTTGCCCAGCCTGGAGTGCAGTGGCTCCATCTTGGCTTCCTGTAACCCCTGCCTCCAAGGTTCAAGTGATTCTCTTGCCTCCACCTCCTGAGTAGCTGGGATTACAGGCATGCGCCACCACGCCCAGTGAATTTTTGTATATTTAGTAGATTCACCATGTTGACTAGTCTGGTCTTGAACTCCTGACCTCCAGTAATATACCCACCTCAGCCTCCCAAAGTGCTAAGATTACAGGCATAAGCTACTGTGCCTGACTTGTAATCTTGCCTTTGAAAGAGAATTATTTGTACACCCTTCATCTTTTTTCTATGTATATTAAAAATGTATATAAAGTCATTTTTATATTCTCTGGTTATGGGATTACAGAATAAACTAGATATTTGCATTGGATCCATTCCAGATACTTTTCTGTGTTAAAAATGTGCAAAGTTCTCCCATAATTGTACTTTTTATTCTTTGGCTCTGACTACACTTACAAAAGGCGGGAATGGATATAACTTTATCAGTATTCTCCGTTCACTCCTAATGGCAACTCTATCTAGTGGAAACACATGGAAACAATCTTCCAGGTTTTTTACAGTTCTTTGGGCAGTTGTTCATGGCTTACTCACTGTCTGTTCTATTTCCTTTTAATCAGTTATTTTTTTCTTTCTCTTGTGAAATGACTATGGTCAGATCTTGGAGGGGAAAATGGGTTACAGTATTTTAGGTGGGGATAGGGTCAGTGATTGTATTACACATATGACTCATCAAAGCAAACTGCTTTAGGAATCTCTAATCCCAATGGTTGAAGAAGACAAAATCCAGTCAGCATTATAATTGATGAAAGCCAAGTTTTTCGTTGCATTGGGTTATGTACAGTATTTTTTCCCAAAGTACACATCATATATTTTAATGTAGGACTATTTTATACTCTTTGAATATATTGGCTATTTATTTGGAAAATTGACCTTATAAACCATGGCTTGTCACAAGGGCTAACAGACTTAAAAAATGAGATATTGTTTGGTGGCTTATGTGATGTATTTTTAAAACCTTTCAAACTCATTGTTTTTAGACAAATGTTACTTTTGGTGTTTTGAGACTAGAAAATAGCAAGTTTTGTCTCCTGGGGAAAATTCCTGAGGTAAATATTTGGTTCTTTCTGTACCTAAAAATGGGTGCATTAGATGGTCTTAGATAGGGATTACTTGAGTCCTCTTATTGAGGGGCAGCAGAGGTGATAAAGTTACTTCTGCTTTCTCCACT